GCGTTCGACTACTCCACTCCCTATCCTTAGTTCAGGTGTTGACGCAGACCAGTCTTGAAGCAACAACTCGCATTTAGAGGGAGAGAAGGGTATTCCAAACATTCTGGCATTGTTGCTTAGTGCTACCAAAAGACTCTGCATTTTGTCAGCGTCTTCACCAAACAGGACTATGTCATCTGCGTATTCTAAGTCGATAAGTGGACCTCCTGGATGGAGATCAATACACGAGAATTCAGTCGACGAGAGCGTTATTTCCATCAGAAGATCTATGATGAAGTTGAACAAAAATGGGGAAAGTGGACATCCTTGACGGACACCACTTGAGGTTACAAAAGTAGATGACAGTTCGCCATAAGCTCTAACTCGACTAGTAGTGTTCGAGTAAAGAGCCTTAACAAGGTTTATGTACTTCTGTGGTACGCCTTTCAATGACAGACACTGCCACAGAATCTCGCGGTCTGTGGCAGTTGAACAAGAAAAGATACTGTATACTTTAGCAGTTAGAATATCGGTCCGTAATGATACACTTTGGCGGAATAATAATTGAATAAATCACCCTCACCTACTTGTAAGTAGTATATATACATATTCTTCTATTCATTGAAGAATTCAGTTCTTCATTTCATAAGATAACTCAATCAACCTGCTAAAATTATTCTACTGTTTTTCACCCTTTACAGAGACTATTTGCAGCAACAATAGTGTGTTTGTGTTAACTGAATTATAATGAAACGACTCATTATGCTAACTAACTAAACCAGAAATTTTATTGTATCAGAATTTGTGTTGAAAGTTTTAACAATTAATGGACTTCGAATGTTCTAAATTAACTGTTATCTGTATGCATAATAATATACATTTTTCGCATCCTACATGTTTTGTATCAGTACAAGTGAGAATACTTAAGGTGACTTTCTTCATACGCTGACAGTAACTAGTTAACCTACAAAGATTATTTATAGCTCATCAGTTAATGTGCTATATTTTGAGACCTACCATTAGCACACATTTATAATCATGTTGAGAGACGAACCCAGTATATTTAAGTTTTGCAGCTAGCTCAACCCTATGTAATCTGAATTAGAACCTAATGTTTTACAATTTGCAACTTGCACCATTTTTGGAAGTGTAACTATTGCCAAGTTTTTACTAGATAACATCCTCCTCTTTCGCAACTTAGCCGACCCGGAAGATTACATCTCGTCACTAAAACTCTGGTAAGTTTGCCCTGAAGATCATATATACTAAGACAACAACTTGTTGACCAGACCAAGAAGCGACGCTTTTTTGTCTTACTCATGAGTTTAAGCTTAAATGAAGGAAATGAGTCTATTTCACTTAGGAAACCAAGCAGATGTACTCTTTCTGGCAAGACTGTTGTCACCATATTTATCGAAAACGAAATGATAGGTTAGGACCAACTGGACACTGTAATATGCAAAGCATTGATTTAGGGCTGTATTTCTATTTGTCTTTGACCAACATGAACTCTGAAGAGCATCAAAGAAACTAATTTACTGATTGGGTTTACATGTACAAAAGTTGTTGACTTCATATCTTTCTTACTTATAGTCTGTAGTAACTACTAAATGGATTCAATAAGGATCTCACTTACTGTTTAGTCTTCAGAAGAGTAAATAGTATCCTCATCTAATGAGTGTTTTTACGCTCGGTTGATAAGTTTATTAATGCATAAACGTTTTTACTATATGACTACTGACAAGTGGTTTATCTGCCACAAGTCACACACATTTATAATTGATATTTATGCCGACGAACAATTAGGCATGATTTCGCTGTCGTTATTTTTAGTCGATTAAATTGCTTAAATAAATATTTTTTGATGGTCAAATTTTATTCATTATACTAGACAGCATCGTCAACGCAAGCATCATAATGAAGTGAACCAAGAAATTTATACTGTTGGTTACAATTCTCTTATAATTTATAGATAATTGCTTTTAGCATTTCTATTATCACTGAACCTTATGTAGCTTTATTGGCTACAAAGTGACATAAACGTTTGGTTTGGAATTCTTCATCATTCTGCTAATGGATTGAAAATTAATTAAATACGAGCTGACTTATAAGCTGATGACTAGGTTAAGTGGCTTGATTCGCATAGTTTTTCATTTCTGATTGAGTCTCATTTGTTGAAAAAATTACACTTCTCTGTCAGATTTACACCTAAGATCATCATTATTCACTTATACAACAGTAAACATTTCTACACCCCCAATCGCCTATCACTGTTTTCACATAAAGGCATAAAGATGTTTCTCTATGCAGTATTATTCCCAGTCGTCGAAATTCACTCCGTATACAATATTACTTAATCTACTCTGCTGTTAAAATAGCAAATGATTTTAACATAACAGTGGTGAGATTAACAACATTCACTTTAGGGTTTTATCATGTAAAGTTTTAAAGATAAAGTGTTTTTACCAGTGTACTTACTTAGGGGTTCATATATTCTTTATCTAAAGAACAAAAGTTGAGAACCGCTTGTTACGTCTTGACCTATATTCTTATTCTCAGTTGATTATTTTTTATCCAGCACTTAACTGGGTAGTGATATTATGATTAAATACTTTTTATGTACATAAAATATTTATTCCCTAACTTAGATTCACAAATCCAGTCAAGCCGTCACAGTTTTGTTGAGTTTTGAAAATTAATTCCCTGGATAAATTGTAATCGCGACTTCAGTTATTTTAGTCATTTTAATATCATAACTGTGAGGTTCAGTAATCCTCTTAACGTGAAAGACCTATGTAGAAACACAGATGGATAAAATTCAAACTTCGCAAGTTAGAATATCCAAAGCACGTTAATATTACTTACCCACAACCCACACGGTGTTGTAGCAAAAATGACAGTTGAATTTAATCCGAATACCGAAACAAAACAGAGATTTAAAATGACCACCACTCAGTTTATTGGATGTGCTGTATTACAAGGAATTTAAACTACTGACTTATGTGAGTTTGTGAAATTTTTCACAAGTAGTTACGTCTTTCATCATTTGATGGACACCTTAAAGTTGTTCTCTTGTTGAGCACACATTCCATGTCTTTTAGAACCTCTCCCCAAGAGTAAGAGTTCATGTTAGACAACTTTAAATGGGAAATCAATATGTTGGTGAACTTTATATAGCTTTGTAATGCTGATATTACATTTCTAAAATGTGCACGTATAACTTGGTCACAAATATCTCTACTAAACAATTTCATTGCAATTATCTGACTTAGACGTCTTTTTGTAGTCAATATTTATGATTTTCGATAAAAAATATTTTTGAAAACTAAACGTTTGAAATGTGAATTGATAAAAAGCGATTCGTTACTGTGACTTTGTAAAACTCTCAAATAGATGTTATGTATAGAAGATGAACAGATTGTTGTGAGAAATGCTTTGCTAAAACTTTATTTGATCTCATTTCAATGAAAAAAAATTCTCTGGATATGTCAAGTAACTAAGTCTGAACGTATTTACTCGGAAAAAACAGGATATAAACCCGGTATCGAAAACATATCTACATTAGTTAACGTTTTTATGCTACGCACAAACGGCATAGATAGCTGAAAAATAACTAAAAGTGCGAGCGTTAGACTTAAAAGTGGTATAAAAACAAAATTCTAAACAACTACTGAGCTGAGGAGGATTTAGAAAATAAATAAAGACGTGAGAGAAAAATGTAGGAAACTCAGTTGGTCAAATAATGATAGAAGAACTTAAAAGGCCTTGCTTTTTAGGAAATAGCTTATAAGGAAATATTTGTTTTAACTAAATAAACAGAACACACTAGTATATAGCAGTTTCGTGCCACCGCAATACTTTACAAAGACTAAGGATATGTATGTAAGAAGGTGCTACAATATATGGTAGACCTCAGTAGGCTTCATTCAAATTCTGACGCTTACATGTAATTATAAAACGATGTAACACTTTTACATTTATCCCCTTCAACAAAAGGCAACCTGTGCATATCGAATTCATCTATGCCTAGCATATCAAAAGCTTCGTCCTAGATCTCTAATATTAACTTTAATAACTTAATACAAGGTAATTATACTTTGATCCTTCAGAAAATTATACAGCGGTTTTAGTGGCTATTCAAAATATGACTTAACTTGTATTATGTATGGACACCAGTTTACCGAGTTTTAAGCACTTATTCACCTTATAAACTGTTGTATATTGACAAAACAATGGGTTTTTCAGAAAACCCCGGTTTTTGCTGTCATTCTCTATACAGCCAATACGTTATGTTATTATTTATTATAGCTTAATGCTTTAATAATAAAGGCTATAAAAACTTGTTGTCGTTTTTACTAGTTTTGTACTGTTTTCCTTTGATTTTGATGGCTTTTCGACATTCATAATTTCTCTTGTGGTTTTTTAAAAATAACTTCTAGATGACAGTATTAATCAATTTATATCTCATGAACATGAATAAAAATCAAATACTAGTATCAAAATTTTCAAACTTGTCTGCATATACCTCTATCACAATTCTTCTCAAGAACTACTAAAAGTATAGGGAATAATTCTCTAGCTGAATAAAAGATGAACAGATAAAACAAGGCAATCTTTCATTCAGAAAATAGAACAATCTAGAATCCGCAGTATCTTGATCATCATACTGCTGTTTCTAAAACTTAAAATAAAAGAGTATATACACAAAAACAATATATCAAGCGATGTTTGCGAAAATTCTTCTACAAAAATGGAGCTATATCTCAAAGCAAACTGTTCTTACCAATTACAAACACTTCAAAATTTAAAACACACCTGGTAAGTTGACAGATTGTTCAGGTGGAAACAATAAAAGACTTAAAAAATACTGCGGTTATTGATATAAACCAAAAGTCTTGATGTTATTGATCTGAATATTAGAAGTTTTGGGAACCGATCTTCATTGATAAACTTTGTTCCTCCAGTTAATACAAAGAATAATAATGATCGGAAATGGCAAAATATGTTTCTAATACTTTAAATTACTGAAGCATGCACGATTCATAAGTCGGGACCATATATTTTATATTTATGAAAGCATTTTCTCCCCCATGCATTTCAAGTATTTCCAAAGTTTCGTGAACTAAATCACCCAGATTCTCACGTTTTTGTTGGCTATAATCAATTCCATCGCCCAAATTCTTGTTTTTATTTATAAATGTATTCATGACTGGTAACAGTTGTCTGTAGTATGGTACAAGGGCTTCGCCAATCATTTCACCAGAAACGACTAGATGTTGAATGGCTTTGAGGACAGTACAGCAAACTTTGTGCTGACGTAAGTTGAGAGCAGACTTTATTGGGATGATAAGTTGTGGTATGACAGGAAGGATTTTGTTTCCTCCGTGTTCAAGTAAGTCGTGGACACCTTTATTTTTAAGATTATGCTCACTTACTTACCTTGCCTTGCAAAGAATTCATATGGATGTTCGGTTTCTGCTAGACCTTCAAAAAATAGTGGCAAATAATGATGGTAATCCAGCTTTTCGATTTCCACTTTCCATGCAATTTTGTTGCCTTTGCTATCATGCTCCAAAGCGATAGGAAAGTCACCTCGATTATAAAAAATTTTAAACTGAGTATCACATTTTAGCAATCTGTGCATGAAAGCCCCAGCCTTAGGTGGAGACCCAACATCGATTTTTCGAGTGAATGCCACAGGTTTAAAGGCGAATTCTGGACAGCAGTGATCCACTAATTTACGTTTTGTATGATTATCTCTAACAGGACTCAAAGTATCAGTGCCCATTTTCGAAAAAGTGACAACTCTGTTATTCTGACAACAAGAACTTAAACAAAAAGCCGGAAAATTATATTGTGCACTCGGTCAATATAAAAAAGACTGCAGAAACTGGAACAATAAATAGCTTTTGATGTTGAAGTTACGGTGTTGTGTTCCATGATAGCCCTATGTCTCGTAATGTAAATGAACTATCTGATAATTAAATGATATACATTTCAAGCAGACAAAACAGAAGAAATAAAAACGAACAAAATGGAATAAAACGCCAACTCTTAATCATACAAGGGAGAAATGAAGAGGGAAAGCGTCAAAAAGTCTCTTTTGCCGCCTTCCGTTGGGAAATAGTGATATATTTTCCCTTTTTGTCACCTTGTGTGAATTTACGATAGATTGTCTACTATTCGATTAAACGCATACCAAGCTATCCACTCCCTCCTTCGATTTATGCAGAATCTAAGCATATTTGTATGCCTTTATCTCAAGATTCTGTCATACAGTTGATTTTACTTAGAAAATTATACTCGGTGAAGACATTTATTTACAGGGCATGGAATCATAGTTGGCAATCAAGTTTATGGCAAAAAGATGCTCGCAGCAAATCTTCACTGAAGGCGTCAAGTTTCTTCGTCGCAGACGAACGTCCGGAAAAAATTTATAGTTAACGGGTAATGCGTTCTAATTGTCAACCTCATGTGAGATTGTATGTGCTCTTACTATATGCCCACAACTGGTCTTAACGTAACGCATGTAAGTGGGAAAGCACATGCATAAAAAACTTGGTTCAACATCGTAATAACCGTCTCGTGGATTAAGAAATTCGATAAATTATACATTTAGAACAACGTTGAACTGCAACACTTTCTGTCAACAACTGACGACATAACGTGAGGCTCACAGTAATGTCTGTTAACACTGAACATTGCTTCCATAGGACAGTAACCAGTTTTTATCATTTTGGATTATTACTTTTATTAAACATCCTTCTTCTACCACACTTTTGAAGGATGTCACTCATGCGGTGGAACTGGCCTTGCGTTGCGATGTCATGCAATTTCGTAAGTCCTCTTTTTGTGACGAAGACCCATGTTCAACATTTAACACCCAGAGATCAGAAATGGTGAACGCTTAACATTTAGTCGGTTAGGTATGATTCATCACTCTACGTAACCTCTTCCTTCACACCTCAAGTGTATTTTTCTATCCTCGGCCAAAGTTATAAACAGAATATTATTGACTATCACGTTAGGACGAGTCAGTATAGACAGTGATATGGCTGTCAAATCTTGTTAAATTTACAATTGTGGTATTAGGTCAGTTATTCAAGCAACATAGATAAACACACTTAATGCTGACATGGACAGTAGTTTCACATGGTTTCACAGATGGTGGTGTTTCTATATGTGTACCAGTAAGAAATTGGCAGAATCACGAAATGATTCTTTATCAAAAGCTAGTGCATATTAGCCATTTTTCCTGAGATTCCATAGAAACCAATGTTCAGAGAGGAGTTTTAGGGATATCATGGTAATTTAGTAGTTAAATTCATGTGTCATTTAAATCTAGCTCACCATGGAAAACCTGGAAGAACTATACGATATTTTCGTCCTGTTATTGGACTCGATAGAAGTGCGCAGCCACAATTCTCCTTGTGGGATTCAAACCGGAGAGTTATCTCCTCGCAGATGAACAACTAACATCTATACCACTGAGCCGGCATCCAATGATATTAGCGTCTAAATTCAACCAGTGTCCATAGAAAGTACGTGCTTAAGCAACAGATTCTCGTGTGCATCTAATCAATGTAAATCATACTGTCCATAAATACTTTAGTACCAAAAGCTTTTTCATTTTTGTAGGGTGAAACTTTGGATTAAGCTGTAATTCAGTCTCCTCATTCAGTTACCACTTGATAGACATTCGTCAGCAGCCTACAGAGAAAAAATAATTCTCCATCTCTAGGCTTAATGTGCCCACACACTTACCCACTTCATTGATTCACAAGCAAAGTAATATGACTAGTCCGTATTCAATGTTCCCACTTTGAGAGTATTCATAATTAAAGACACATTATCTTGTCTTACATTCAGATACATCAACTTTTCGGACCTATCTTGTCTTTACCACGCGCATATGACTCGTACAAATCGATATTTGACGATTATTCTCTGCAGTTAGTTAAAACTTTCATTGCATCATTCCAAAATATTACTGCACAAATTCATTCTACCATCAAATCCTAGTGAATGATTGATTTGTTTTATTTTACCTTTTTAGATTCATTCTGTAATACATATATCTCCGTTTATTATTCTGTTCCCCAAACATACTGAGTTATTTACATGTTTAGCTTTTCTCACTTTCTTTTTTTCTCTAAAGACTACTCAGTTTTCCTCCGAATTCTATAGCAACTGTTTAAATATGCCGAATATTATGCAAACATTGTTAACACGTGTGCATAATCCCATGTCCGAAGAAACTCGAAATGTTTTCTTCGCAACACCTAAATGCCAAATGTTGCTTGTGAATAATAATGACTTATTATGATAATCACAAATATTCAAACTGATTTGCTATCTAAGAATTTCCGAAATAGTGCAGTTTAAGGCAGATGAAAATAGAATAGTGCAACTACGAGTATCACATATGCAATTTTTGATAAGCGAACGATCAAGTAAACGTAATTATCAGTTAGTACAAATACCACACTTGTCACTGCTTGCATGGTAATCCAGGTTTCTATACTTGTTGAGACCTTACCGCCGGAGACGGACATCTGTGGGATAGGGCGATGTGTGCATTTTTAGGGTTGACCTCTTCTAGCCCCACATCTCCTTGTGGGAAGGCAACATCGCTGTTGTGCTGGTTGTCTGACGGAAACACTTTACTGCCGTCACACGTCTGTACAGTTAGCAGTACGACTTTGCTTCGGACCTTGGGTTTTTTGCTTCTAGTCTTAGCGCTCTTCAACCGATTTGTTTGGCATTGTGGGACCTTGAGAAACGATCGCTGCTCAAGATGCGCGGGACCCAATATAATGGCAAAATGTCAGCTATAGGTTGAAAAACAATGGCTCAACGGTGCACATGAAAGCACATTATATGTGCGCCAAATTACTTTTCTACCGCCCCCACGAGCCATCCATCACGGAGATATTTCGATGTTTCTTTCAGAGTCAATCTTTTCCTTCAAGATGTCTTGGTATAATTCATTTGTGTCCCTCCATGTATGACCACACTCCTTGTGAAAATATTTCGCAATTAAAATATTCAAACATCTTTAATATCTAAAACGAGAGCCACCATGAGTTTGGCTCCTGGTAATTCGACCCTCAAAGAGTAATCTGCCCATGACGAAACCACAGCTGCTTATCTCACTGCAGTTGTAAAAAGATTGTTTGGACTGGTTTTCACAATAGATGCCAACAATGTGATCTTAGCCACTTCCTACATACTGCTTCATAAACAGATACTACCTCAAGTAGCCACGCTTAATGCGTCGATCAACAAAGTGCTCCTGTTATAATATATAGAGATTGGTAAGTGACTGTGTAGCAAGCTCAAGGCAGTGGTCATAGACATCTGTCTCTCTTCCGATGTTATGATTGGAGAACCGAACATTCAAGAGATGACATCATTCAGGTGTGATAGGGGGCACTGAGTAGAAGGAGAAGTGATGACACACATCTATGTCTACTTCAAGATTGCGATATTTGTTGACTTTGTCAGAGTATTTGTCGATGTACCACACTTAAACTTTGTAATGGAGATCGAAAAGAGGGTTTCGCCTACTCAATCATTTCCTGGTTGTAAAATCACTTAAGAGCCGAAAATTTTGCACTTAACGATATAGAGTGTGTGCAAACTGGAGAACCTTAAAATCCGAAGTCTCACAGGGAATCAATTTACAGACCTTATTTTCCTGGTTGCTACAAACGATCTTCTGGATAAAAAGTAGCTCACAGATCTTATCTACACTGATGACCTCAACCTCTGGAGACCCATAGGAAGCGAGCGAAACCTCGGTTCCCAAAAGACTTCGCGCTACTGAAGTGATGGGAGAGAAGAGTGTCACGTTACGAATATCCATTCGTCTATATACAAGCTTCCAATATCTTTCATGACCATTTTCTAACAGTTATCTCCACGATATGACCTAGGTCTACTGATTACGTCAAACTTGGGCATCGGTGCAAGCGACACTTGGCACGTCGCCGGAAATCATGCAGTTTAACATTTTACACGGAGGTAGATTAATGTTGTCACTTGATAACTGTTTTTAAACGCTCGATTAAACGCACACATGGTCTCATCTCGAGAATCTCAGTTTTACACACTCTCTTTTGGAAAAGACTTCTCTTATAACAATTACAAGGGCATAAAACACAATGGGTGGTAGGATTAAGGGACAGATACTGTGAGGAATGAACTCACCGTTTTGGACTATTCCCATTACAGTACAGGAAATTAAGAGTCAAACTGATGTTAGTGTAAAAAGCGATAAACAACTCAGGTTTATCTAGTAAAAGAGTATCTGATGGCAAATATATCAACTCGTGAATTATTTCCCGTCTGACCCTATATCAAATGTAAAAATCGGGGTGAAGTAGCATCTTTTTTCCTTACCGTAAGATCTCATCTGGAGTCCATTCCCGAATGACGTGGCTCTCGTAGTAAACATTTTAAGGGGTGGAGAAAATTATGTGCACGCTGAAAGTTTAGAACCTTTCACATGGAACAAGGTCCAATTATGCTCACGAGGAATAAGATTTTAGTCGTTTGTTATTTAGCCTGACAACCGTCCCTAAGCTCATCTAGCACTACTATTGTTATCATCCTTTATGTGTCACTATTGTTAGTATTTACTTGCTTACTCTTGCTACCCTTTCGTCAATGAGCATAGACCTCCCACTAGCATCCTTTTGCCAATTCTATCCCGAGGAATCCCTTCCAGTTCTTCCCAGTTGCTATTCATACTTTTTATGTCTGTTTCCAAATTTAGGCGCAATA